TACTGTCTGGTAATTGTTTACCATCTGATTAACTATGAAAGATGTCCCGTTTCCCCTGAGATCCTGGACCATGTGTACACAGAGTGAGAGGGGTCCCTCTCCCTGTCCCCTGTGTTTGTCATTTATACCAGCGAATGCTGCAGTCTTTCTCAATTTCATTATTCTTTGCCCTGTTGCTCTGTTGCCATGGAATATTTAAGCAGTGAATTCTAACCGGAGCTTATGTTCACACTGGAACCGGACAACCAGAGATGCGGCAACATGCAGGAGCCAATTTCACATTCCTGACAGGTGAAATGCTTGTTCCAAAAAATAGCTGGCTATGCAGCTAGAGTCGAGACCTTCTCACAACTGCACCCAGAGCTGTAATGATTGGTTTGGGGGGAGGCGGTAGAGTTTGGACTTGAAGCAGAATTAAAATATGTGAGAAAAAGTGCTCCTTTAACAACTGAACATGTGTGGAAGTTATTGTGTCTGTCCTGGCACCTCATAGAACAACCATACTGCAGACCCTTATGGATTGGGCTTCTGTTTGCTTTTTTTTTTTTAAAAACAGTATTATTGATTATAATTTACATACCATTAAGATCATGCATTTAAAGTATAAATTCAGTGGTTTTTATCAGGGATTGAAACCAAAGTCCTCTTCAGAACCTATTTGTTAAGTGGGAGGCTGCTCCCTGTGTCTAATTAAAGTTTTACTGTAATGACATTATGGCCCATTTCCCCAGGGGACTGATTGTAGGTCTCCTGTGGACTCTCAGTCATGTCAGAAGTCGTGGAGCATAAGAGTGGATTTTAAGTTAGACATGCTGAAGTCTGAGCCAACGTTCCACTTTATACAGCTGGTGTTTTATATATGAGCTGGTGTAAAGCTGTATAAGCTTCAAGGGCTAAGTTTGAGTATTAAATGACATGACACTCAGTCCCTTACAAAAGAGCCCTGGTATGTACTAGGCACTTAATATAAATGTTTAGCCATCATCATCATCATTACTATTGTTGTTATTGTCATTGAGGACATGTCTGGCTCAGGCATGTGCTTATGGTGGACCAGATTCGGAATTCTGAGGATAGTTGGTGACAACATTTAAAGAGTGGGGGGCAAGGACTGAATGGAAAAGCAGCCTATTCTTCCATACCACCCCTCCCCGAGCACCAGTCCTCCCTTTCTCTTTCTCTACTATTTTCCTGCCCTAATCATTTTTGCTTTTTACAGTCTGAGAGGATCTCTGCATTAGATGACTCGTCAGTCCTTTCTCTTAGAACCTATGATTTTGTTTTTCAAATTCTCACGCTTTAAAAAACAAAGAGATTCATCCTGGCCAGTGTTGTTCAGTGGTTAGAGCATTGGCCCACCCACCAAAGAGTCCCAGGTTTGATTCCTGGTCTAGGGCATGTACTGGAGTTGCTGGTTCAATCCCTGCCCCTTTAGGGAGCGTTCGGGAGGCAACCAGTCGATGTCTGTCCTCACATAGATGTTTCTCTCTCTCTCTCTGTCCAGATTCCTCCCCCCTCTCCCCCCACTGCCTTCCACCGTCTCTGAAGAGCAATGAAAAAAATAACCTCAGGTGAAGGTTCACAAAAACAACAACAAGAAAACAAAGACGCTCACGGATCACTGATAGGCAGAGCGTTTCTGGGAAGGAGGCTGCAATCCTGGTCCCTGGACACTGCCTCATCCTTGTGTTTCTTCAGAACCACAGAGCAGAGATGTCCTTCCATGTTAAACACTGAAACAGTGGGTTTTCATAACAAGAGGAAATTTTTTTTAATGCTTTTTATTGATTTCAGAGAGAGGAAGGGAGAGGAACAGAGAGATAGAAACCAATGATGAGAGAGAGTCATTGATCTGCTGCCTCCTGCACACCTCCCCACTGCCTGTTGAGCCCACAACCCAGGCATGTGCCCTGACTGGGAATCGAACTGTGATCTGGATCATAGGTCGATGCTCAGCTACTGAGCCACATTGGCCGGGCAACAAGAAGAATAATTTTATAAGATGGCAGTGGAGCCTTAATATCAAGGTTGAGGTGCACACCTTTTCTGTGAACTGGGGGTAAGGGATCCTCTCCGGAGGCTGCTGTGTTAGAGGGATACAGGTCACAGGTGCTCAGCACAGGCTAGTTCCTTTGTCTCCCAGGAAGCCCCACCGGCAGTCGCCTCTCTAGCCTTTGCATCTACGTGTTACACACAGGAATGAATCTCAAGCAGTTCTGCGAGATGCTCGAGTCCCTCTTGGAAATGAGAACGCAGCTGAGTCTGAGTTGGTGAAGCTTGTCTGTTCACACTGCGCTTTTTAATCTTTTACTTTTTCCTCATTTGCTTGCCTCTCGCTTATTCTTTTTTTTTTTTTTTTTTAATATATCTTTATTGATTTCAGAGAGAGGAAAGGAGAGGGAGAGAGAGAGAGAGAAACATCAGTGATGAGAGAATCATTGATTGGCTGCAGCCTACAACCCGGGCATGTGCCCTGACAGGGAATCCAACCCTGATCGCCTGGATCTTAGGTTGACACTTAACCACTGAGCCACGCCAGGCTGGGCCCTCTCGCTTATTCTCAGTCCTTGTTTGGGGGACATTGAGTGTTCTCCAGGGATGTGGTAACATGGTTTTTGTGATGCATATAGGCTCATTTGCAGATATTGTAGTGTTTTGTGTTTTAATAAAACATCATTTAACTATACTTTTTAAACCAGTTCACTTAAAAAAAAATTAGCTCCACGCAGGACAGCAGGTTTCCTCCACCTTGCTGCCGGCCACCATTCTTTGTTGTGGGGCTGTGCTGTGCCCTGTGAGATGGTCAGCAGCATCCCTGGCCTCTACATATTCGATGCCAACACCACCAGCCCTCAGCTATGACAGCCAAACGTGTATCAGACATTGCGCAGTTTTCTGGGCTTGACCACAAGGACTTTGATGACTTCACTCCCAGCCTCAGCAGTTTGACAGTTCCCAGGCTTGTCTCTACATTTATTTTTATTTTTTATTTTTAGTTGTTTAAAACAATGCAAATTTATTGCCTTACAGTTCTCAAGGTCAGAAGTCTGAAATAGGTCTCAGTGGGTTCAGATCAAGGTGTTGGCAGGGATGCGTTTCTTGAAGGCTTTTGAGAGAGAATCTGGTTCCCTGTGTGCCAGCTTCTACGGGCTGCCTGCCTTTCTTGGCTCGTACCCCTGATAGTAGTGGATGGAGTCTGTCTCACATTGCATCCCTGTGACAGACTCTCCCATTCCCTCTTCCATCTTTTAAGGACCCTGGTGACTACATGAGGCCCACCCAGGAAAATCTCCCCCATCTCCAGGCCAGCTGATAAGCACCTACATTTTTTCTGCATTCTTAATTCCCCTTGCCATGGAACCTAACATAGTCACAGATTCCTGGAATTAGGATTTGGCCATTGGGGGTGGGGCATTATTCTGGCTGTCACACTCAAGCCTCCATAGTTTTACATTTAGCCCCCTAGCCCCCAGCCCTCATATGCTGGATAAACTCATCCTCTCTAAACATTACCTTATTGCAAAAGCTTTTACCAAAGGCTCTAGGTGGAGCCAACTCCTTTCTCTTCTACCAAGACAGAACTTCACTTATGAGTCAGCACCTGGGCTCCCATCTCTCAGTAGGGTGTCTGTATGCCAGTCACCTCAGCTGGACTGTAAACCTGAGCCTTTTTCATCTTTGTTTCTCTCAGTGCCCTGTGGTACTTGGCACATGGTAGAGCATCAAGAAATAGCAAAATATTGATGATTTTGGACATTTGATTATGGGCTATATTTGAGTAAATGTTGAATTTCTTTGTTGTGATAATGATGTCACAGTTATGTAGGACAGTGTCTTTCTTGGGATTTACCAAAATATTTAGAGGTCAGGTATCATGGTTACTATTATAGCTCACTAGCAAATGGTCTACAAGAAAAGTGTATATTTCTATAAAGATAAAGCAAGCATGGCAAAATGTTAAATATTGGTAAATGTCAATGAAGAGTATGTAAATGTTCACTTAACTTTTCTGTAGGTTTGGACATTTTCAAAATAGAAAGTGGAAAAGAATGAAATCTTAATGTGGAATGAATTGTATGGATGGCGCCAGCTGGGATGGAGTAGGGCTCCCATTGTCAGGAAGCTGGTTTGCTGCTGTTGAAGTGATAAAGCCGGCGCTGATTGCATCTGCATTGCACTTTTGGCATAGTAATAATAATCCTTTCTGGGATCACATTAGGTGCAAGTCATATTCAATATTCAGGAAGCTTAATGAAACCTCTCTACCTCCTGGGTGAGTGCATATGTACAAAGTAGAAATGATAAGATTGAGAAAGCAGAGGACTTTCTGTGCCACTCATCTGGAAGTTTCTTCCTAGCATGCCCTCAGGGAAGTTTGACCTCATTGCATCCAGACAGTGGCACCTCCAGTCACTGACCCCATTCCTTCTGGGACTGCAGGCCACTCCACCAGGCACATGGTGCACATACTGCATTTAGAACAATCTGTGGCCTGTCTGGGTGTCTGCTCAGTGCTCATGTGTCAGTTGGTACAGGAGATCTCCCTCACGAAATGGTTGACTGTACAGATTGGAGTATTGGAGTATGACTGTTTCCTGAGGGAACCAGCTAAGGTCTTCTGCCCCCACTGACCTTGGTTCTCAATCCCAGGGTCATGAGAGGGTTCACTCCCTTTCGTGGTCCCTAGCAAGGGCCTCAGAGCTCTCACATACCCATCTCTATGCCCTAGATTTGTGGAAATAGCCTGTGTGAAGGATGCTTTAATAGCTTCCTTATTTAAAACTTCCATTTGTAGAGGTGATGTGGTAGAATTTTGGGGTTTGAGGCCATCTCTTCTGGTTTCCTATCTTCTGAATTCTGTCATCGATGCCCCTGCCTGGTGGTGCTTCGCCTCTGTCTGCTTGTTCCCTGTGACATGACCCTTGCCTCCCAGCTTTCATTCAATCTTCAGTTGGTGTTACAGCTGGGGGTCCTTCCTGGAATCATTCCAATCAGTGAATGGAATGATTGCTCTCATAACAGCCACAGGCATGGAGATTCTAGGGCCAAAACAGATCGTATGTAACGTTTCTTCTTTGCCTCTCAGGAGCCTAAAGCCCCCAGCTCATCCCTCCTGAGACATCTTTGCTCCAAGAACTAGGAGATCGTTGGGTGACAAGGTGACAAGTCCTCTCATCATATTCCAGGTACAGTCTGCCCATCAACACTTCAGCAGAGTGGTCGTCACTTTTGTGCCAGAATATATTATTCACTTAGACCGTTAGTCGTTTTTTGACTTTTTAAGTGAACTGACAACTAAAACCCTCAGTTGTTGTTCTTTTAGAATTTATAGCTGCTGTGCTTTTTCAGAATCATCTAGCGCTTCCATCTCATCAGAAAATAGGTTTGCCTTTTCATGGTGGATTTCTTAAATTCCTACATTTCCTTCAAACAGAACTCTTATTTTTTTTAAAATATTTTTTTAATTGATTTTTTTTCTTTAGAGAGGAAAGGAGAGAGAGACACACACACACATCAATGTGAGAGCAAAATATAGATCAGCTGCCTCTTGCATGCCACTTTACTGGGGATCGAGCCTGAAACCCAGGCACGTGTGCCCTGACTGGGAATTGAACCTGCAACCTTTCAGAGCATGGGATGACGTCCATCCACCTGTGCCACACTAGCCAGAGCAAACAATTCTTTTTTTTAAATCCTCACCAGAGGATATTTTTTCCATTGCTTTTCAGAGAGAGTGGAAGGTGGAGGAAGAAAGAGGGGAGAGGGAGGGGGAGAGAGAAACATCAATTGGTTGCCTCCCACAAGTGCCCTGATTAGGACTGGGAATCAAGCCTGCAACTGAGGTACTTGCCCTTGGTCGGAATCGAACCCAGGACCCTTCAGTCTGGCCAATGCTCTAACCACTGAGCAAACCAACTAGGGCTAAATGAACAATTTTTTTTTTTTTTTTTTTAATTTCAGAAAGAGGAAGGGAGAGGGAGGGAGAGCTAGAAACATTAATGATGACAGAGAGTCATTGATTGACTGCACACTCCCTGCTGGGTGTGGAGCCTGCAACCCAGTCATGTGTCCTGACCAGGAATCGAACCTCAATCTCCTGGATTGTAGGTCGATGCTCAACTGCTGAGCCATGCTGGCTGGGCTAAACAAACAATTCTTAATACCTACAGATTGTAAGGCCTTCTGCACAAAGGCCCGGTCCACAGGGTGTGCTCCTGTTCAGACGCTGAGTGCCGTGTGGTCAGCAGCATGTGGAGGGGCGTGTGCCCTCTGCGGCGGCCTCTGGCTGCTCCATGATAGTGTGCCAGTGATACATTGGGCTGCATTTCTGCCTTTGACTCTGGGGGCTTTACATTTCTCAAGGTCAAGGTCAGGTTCCAATTTCTTTCCTACTCCTAAACTTTTCCTCTTGCTCCTATTTCTTTCCCTCTTCTATTTAAGAATCTTCTGCAGCTTGTTCTGGGGTTTAGGTGCCATAAGGATCTGCTGTAGATCAGTGTGTGTCAGGCAGGTCCTTGGGCGCCTAGAGTCCTGAGGGGGCATGGGAGCCAGGTGAGGGTGGCGAGGTTGGGGGAATGCAAGCCTAGCTAGCAGGGCTTGTTGTACCATTTCTCTTTAGATTAGAGTAGCTCCAGTTTTATCTGACTCTTGTATTTGGTTTTGGCGTAAGATGTAGTGAGGGAAAAAAAGTTCTACTATTAAAATACTTGAAAGCTTTGGTTTCAGTTATTTTTCAATAAAAAAACAACAACCCACAGATTTACCACATAGAGACTTCATCATTGTCAGTATTTTATTCATCACAAAATAGCAGCGGTCGTTTTTCAGGGGTGTGTGTTTGTAAAGAATGTCACCTGACTTTTGTCCTCTGCTCACGTTCTTACACTCCTCGGGGGCCACTCATAGGCAACCCCTGAGTGCGAAGCTATATTAAGAATGCTCATGAAATCAGGGATCAGCAGCCCACACTGCCTTTCATCAGAGGAACTTTGGGGGGGATCTGGCCAGTGCCCTTTGCCACATGTCAGCATCTCCCAGCAGGTACCTTGAATAGAAGGAAAGAGGAGGGGGCTCCCATAGTTCCTGGTCCCCGGGGGGTTACAGCTATAAGTAAGCACCTTATTTTTGAGGCTGTTGCAACCTTGTAAATGTCAGAAGCAAAGGTGCAGAGTTACCAGGTCTTCTTTCACAAAGACAGTAAAATTAGATCCTTGTCAGCAGGGAAGTGGGAGGAAGGTATTCAATGGAATGCCAGAAGCCACTGTAAGCCTCGAATATTTTTTTTCCTTTTTCTTCTCAGCAATTATTTAGTAAAAGTGCTTAAATTAGAGTGAGTTTATTCTGCATTCTTCCTCCTCTTGCGGCCATAATCAGACATGTCTCTGCTGTTGCAACAGACTATTTAGAACCTCTTCCTCTGTTACCTGATACTAGGCTAGGTGGGGGGGGCGAATGCTCACGTCTGAGTGAAAGCCTCAGTCAGGCTGTTCTGTTTCTCTGGGTGGACAGTGCTGGGATAAAAATGCATGGGAAAACCCTGGATGGTCCTTAGGTCCTTGGACACAGATCCTGAACTGTGTCTAAATCAGAGGAAGCCATAAGCTACCAGACACTACCATGATGCTGTCCTTCTTGGGTGAAGAGATACAGACCAGGTGCCAAATGTTGACAGAAATGGTGCATCTCCTGGAAGCTTTGTGGTCTCTGCCACGCCTGTTTGTGCTCTAGGTTGATCACATTGTCTCCTCCTTCAAGAGGGTAGGGAGCTCTCTTCCACTCCCTGCTATATCCTCATGAGGCACCTAGAAGGGGTGGCACATAGTGGGTGTAAGACAGTATTTGCTAATGGGATGGATGGTTGCTTGTGTCTTCCTGTGCAGCTTGTGAGTACTCTGAGGGCAGAACAGTATAGTAGAGTGGCACAGGATAGACACAACTTTTAAAAAACAAAATAATAGCCATTTACTATAAGCTATTTTTCCAGAAGGAGGAAATTACTTTCAAATCATTCAGCCATAACCACGAAAAAATAGTTTCAGGTGAAGTAAAGCTTTGTTCAACCATTGAAGCAGAGATGGTTAATGAAATGTTGGGGCTCAGGTCATTATCTCCTATAACCCATGTTTGGACCATGGGTTAGTCATGACAATTCTCCCCAAACTTAGTGACTGACAACACGCAGTTTCTGTGGTCAGGAGTCGGAGCACAGGGTAGCGTGTTGTGCTAAGTCCCATGTGGCTGCCGTAGGAGCTGATTGGCACCGAGTTCTCATGTGGAGGCTCGCCTGGGGTAGAATCTGCTTCCACGCTCCTTCAGATTGTTGGCCAAATGCATTTCCTATGGTTGTAGGACTTAGTGCCCTGGCCTCTTGCTGGTTGACCTGGAAGCCAGCTGACAAGGAGAGTCAGCTAGCAGAATGGAACCTCACATAACAAAACGTAGTCACAGGAGAGACATCATCCCCTCTGCCATAGTCTGTTGAATAGAAGCAAGTCCCAGTCCCCACCCACACTCACAGGAACAACTGGGGGTGGGGCTCATGGGGCCACCTTAGAGTGTCCACCACAGGTCACCTCTCCTCCCCCTTGAGAGGAGGGATTTAAAAGTGGTTCCCACCTGCTGTCCATGTTTGTGAAAAATTTGCTTTCATTTTTTCTTTTTTCCACAATTACCCACAATTTTAAATCTATTAAAAGATCACAACTCTCCAGGATCCATTTATCCTTCCTGCCAACATGGAGGTGCTTGCACCCTCTCGGACCTGCTGGGTGGTGCATGGCTCCAGAGGCCTCCATTCTGCTAGGGGATGTTGCAGGTTAAACTGCTTTTTGTGAGCTGCCTTAGCACCAGTGACAGCTTTGTCATGTTGATTGTGTAGGAAAATGTGCCCTGAGTCTTAACTGATATCTCAAGTGACATGTCAGTGAACTTCCAGGAGGAAAGATGCCCTCACAGTGTTTTTCTGTGGAAAAGGGGCAAGGTAGAGAGCATTTTGGGGGTGTAAGTTGCAATGTCTATTTTCAACCTGTGAGAATTTCTTTAAAGAAGCAGAAGTCTGTGATGTGTCTTCTGATTCTCTGAAGACACAGAGTTGTAAAGCAGTAATGGGAGGGAGAATTTCAGTTAACTGCAGTCTGAATAACTGAGGGTTGGCATATTGAGAGCTCGGGGGTCAAGTGCAGGGAACATTCTGGAATGATAGTCTGTGGTTGGCTATTGCACTGGAGCCTTCCATTAAGGCAGAACAGGTGTCACTGCTCATGATGTATGGGGCCACTATCGTCCATGTGACATGCTGGAAGTCCCCTTCGCACTTATGCCACCACCTGCTGTCTTGTCTAGTAGAAGTAACTACATTTGCCCATCTCTGGCTTCAGCCCCTCCCTCTGATGCAGCCCTTTCCGGGTCTGTGATTGTTACGGAATTCGAAGGCCCTTGTGTGGTGAGCCATTTGCTTCTGATGCCTCAAAGTCATTTCAGACAAATTGAGTCCCATTCTACCCTCTAATAAAGACCATTCTATGACCACCTACCAGGATGTTTCCTCCAAGTATATTACATAAAGGGAAACCTCACAGAGGGAAAGCGCCACAGGTAGTTGTTGGGCTGAAGACAGGCAAGGTGGTCAACCTCAGCAGTAGGCTTTGAAGCTTTTCTTAGGGTGTCTACAATCTTGGTCACCTGTGAAGTACGGTTACAAGTAGGACAGTAAGACCTATTATCAAATGTGGCATTTCCTGCCTAGGGGTGGTGTGTGCATGACTTGCATCATGGAGATAATTCCCATGGTAACCACAGGGATGTGCATTACACATGTCCCTGACACCTCAGGGACAGGGAACAAATGGCAGGTAACTGTGAAAAGTGGAGGCACTGGCTTGTGCAAAAGGTGCTTTATTAGTTGGACTGATGTACCATGCTTAAAGGTGAACATATTGACTTGCTACCCAAAAAAGAAGGCTAAGCTGTGAGACCTGGTGGTTCTGGTGTCTCTTGCTCCTCCAGTCTGTCCTTCACAATGAGACCAGAGTAATCCTCCCAAATATTATTTTGTTGATGCCCTTATTTGCTTAAAAATTTTACATCTGAGTAAAGTATAAACCTCTCAGCTGACCATTTGAGACTCCCCTGCTCCTCTCTGCACACCTTTTCCAGCCTCACCTGTTATTGTCTGATGGGTGTTACC